ATATGGAAAGACTCACCCTGTATACAAGGTGTACTAAAACCACTGGATATCCTTTTAATCGCAGATTCTTTAGGAAATTTCAAGACAAAAATTCTAATACAAAAATGTCGAGGCTATAAGAGTTTTTAAATAATAAGCGAGTATATTCTACCAATGATAGGCCTGAGATTTCGCGCGCTCAGACACTGCGACGTGACAAGTGATAAAAGTGTTGCTATGAATGTGAATGAATAAAATTAAATTAAAAAGATTAATGATCACCATTTAAACTCTTGAACGTGGACTTTCTGTCATTCTTCGTGTTTCTGCCACCACTGGTGCCAGGTTTGTCGTCACAACTAAGTGTTCTATCATAAGTAGCTGAGAAGCTGTCAGGAGCATATAATTTAAAATATTCTAAACTACTAAGTAATGAGCCTTTCAAGTAGATCACGCTGGACAGAACTATATTAGTGTTGCAGTCAATATTGTCCGGTGTTAGCAGATCCGGTATTTTGCGTTCCGTTACATTGCTAATATTATGATTGATGAAACGCCTCGTTAAGTTGGGAAGAGACTTGAAATCGCTACTTTTCATAGTCTGATGGGCAGACGAAAATAAACTCGATGTTTCATGCTTCAGTGATTTAGAGTTACTTAGCCAAAGTTTACTCGAAATTCGACACTCGAAGGAGCCTGGGGGTCCCTTCATCTGAAGCAAAAAACAATGAGATTATAATATTCTGTATCTCTGATTGCTTTTCTGACACATGTTCTTATGTGTATATAATACATGTGTATAAGTACCATCGTGTCGAATTTCTTTTATTAAGAATCTTTTAAATTTAAGTATCTGGAAAATTAGCGATAAATCGTATACTCTTGTGCGGACTTTGTACGATGATACCACACATATCGAAGGAAATTACTTACAATGTAACAGAATATTGGCTTTACGTTGGTTAATATCGGTCAATGCATTTCTAATATAACAAACATTGGACCAATTTAGCCAATGCACTGTACCTCTATGGATTCCTGTCCCTAACCGCTCGCTTCCAAGTGCTCAACCTCAATAGCTCCTTAATGTCCCTTTTATTCTCCTTCTGCCACCTTCTTCTGGATCTCCCCACCGGTTTTCTATCTTCCAGCTTTTCCTTGAGGACCCTTTTTGGGGTTCTCTGCTCATCCATCCTATCTACACGACCCGCGCCTCGCAGCCACTATAGCCTCATAAGATTTATCAGTGGGAGGTTCTTATACAGTTGATAGAGCTTCTGATTATATTAATTCTCCATAGACCGTTCTATATTAATATATTATTATATACATATATTAATTCTCCGTAGAAAAGTTTATATATACTGATTGCCTTCTGCAGAAACATAGTCTTGTTGTAGGATAGCTTTGGAAATATTATCGGGAATGTAAAGGACTTTTCTAAGAGAATTCTCGATATCGTCGCTAGCTCCGAAGTACACCATGAGTAGATCATGGTATATGAGATGCGGGCTGAAGAATATGTTTTGTTTCGGCTCCATCAATATACATTTCTTCAGGCTTTCGAGGGCAAATTTAAAGCGTGCGTCGGTCAATATCTTAAAAAAAATTTGTGTAAGTTGTTCACAAATTTAATTTCTACGCATATGAAACGCATATGAATGCATTATGTAAAATGATTTGGGGAAATTAAAGGAAGTATAAAGAAATTACGTTAAATGTTGTATGTAATTTCCAGTACATGTTTTTAAAGAAGTTTTCTTCACATAACATCTACACACACCGACACACGCACACACACGCACACACGCTCACACACATTGACAAAAAATAGGTGAGATAGTGAAATTAAAACAAAAACTTTCTCCTACTGATATCCTCTATAGTCTATACTGCACCTATTAGTTTAGACCGGTTAGATTATGCTATTAGAAACAATATTTTACCTTTTCCTTTGATATAAGTATCAAGATTTACTATCAACAAGATTTCAATCCAATTAAGTAATTGTTCGTCACAAAAACAACCAGTCACAATAAGCTCCAAGAAAATTTTTAAGATTAGTTATAATACATCGGTGTATTATAAGCGGTGGCAATTGTTCGTCAGTTGGAGTATAATACTAAAATGATAAAGTAACTTTTCCAAATGTAATGCTAGAATACAATACAAGCAATAATATACAAACTGTCAAGATTATATCCAGTAGTGTTATAGAGAAGTCGATTACTCGCACTTGTGAGCACTGAATATACACTAAGGCTTGTTCAGAGTCAGTTCTTGTATGTATGATAATCTTAAATACATAGTGAAAACTATTTCGTCGAAAAAATGATCCGTACGGATGCAATATAGATTATTTTACCGGCTGCGAAGTACATCAAGAGGTGTTTAAAACAATCTTTAGATACGAGAATTGACTGTAAACAAGCCACAGTGCGCACTCGGTGCGTACTAGTGCGAGCAACCCAATTCGCTATAAGTTTACTAACAGGATTTGGTGAAAACGCGGCAATCGTAAGAAAACTTAAAATAAAGGATAGCAAAGCCGATGTTTCTTTTGGTGATAAAGAAACAAGTTTCGACGTCGATCGACGAAACATTTCTGGGGGTATTAGACCAATATTCTTATTACATTGTTAAATAGTGACCAATGCACTTCCAATATAAATCTAATGTTATATAATTATTATCGTGAAATATTTACATTTATTCCATGACCAATATTGGCTTTACGTTGGTTAATATCGGTCAATGCATTTCTAATATAACAAACATTGGACCAATTTAGCCAATGCACTGTACCTCTATGGATTCCTGTCCCTAACCGCTCGCTTCCAAGTGCTCAACCTCAATAGCTCCTTAATGTCCCTTTTATTCTCCTTCTGCCACCTTCTTCTGGATCTCCCCACCGGTTTTCTATCTTCCAGCTTTTCCTTGAGGACCCTTTTTGGGGTTCTCTGCTCATCCATCCTATCTACACGACCCGCGCCTCGCAGCCACTATAGCCTCATAAGATTTATCAGTGGGAGGTTCTTATACAGTTGATAGAGCTTCTGATTATATTAATTCTCCATAGACCGTTCTATATTAATATATTATTATATACATATATTAATTCTCCGTAGAAAAGTTTATATATTCGTTAAAACATTAATTTTTTTGTAAAAATATCTACGAAATAGTACTACAAATTACAATGTTCTCAAATCAAGAAATTATTGCTGAGTAGCATTGGGCCCAGTCCGTCTCCCTGCTTCAACCCTCGCGTAATTCTGAAAGGGTAGATCAGTTGGTTCTTTATCCGTACATATACATCATCCATTGTAAAAACTTTCGTACGAAACATTTGTCGCTAAAATACTTTGTTTCCAAGATATAAGTTTTATAACTCTAAAAATCTCACTCTATATATACATATATTTATATCTATAAAATTGCTTCAACAAAATCTGTTCTATAATATTATGTGTTGTCGTACACCATATCTTATCTTGGATTGACATTCTAGAAACGTAGAATTAATTGTTTTAACTAACGTATTGTACGTATGCTTTTCTTCAATTCTACGGCAAGTTAATGCAGCTGATTCTCGTTTTAATGTTTCGGGATTAATTCCAATTAATCCAATAAACCGTTATTCCTAAATAACTTTTAAAAGAGAAAACATTTAGATGTTAATTAACAAAATATTAAAGGGTAAGAAACATATTTAATATACAATGCTAATACAATGTGGATTTATCTACTATAAATATATATGAAAATAAGGGAATATCTGGGGATATCTTTATTGAAAGAGTGACATGCAATCTTAATTTTTACACATTAAATAAATATATATAAATATAAATATATTTATATATATGTTTTATATTTTTCGTCGATGTTTTACATATATAGAGACATACTGTGATATTTATATAACATAATTATATATGTATTTCTTGTGTAGGAACAGTAATATATTACGTATACATATTTATTACAAGTTAACACGGCATATTTCTTTGAAAAAAATCATGTACATTACCACAAGCACAGCTTAAGATATCTTAAATTTTCTTCAGAATGAATAAATTATAATTCGCTTCAAATAGTATTCATTGGGATCGTAATTCAAAGAATTGCTAGATGGTTAATAAAATTATTGGATTAAGATTGGAATATAAAACCCAGGCAGCCGCGGGCTTTAATTTATATTGAAAAAAAATAGTGTTAACATACACATAAAATATTTAATACATTGGATATACATAAAATATTTTCATGTATATCCGATGTTAAAAAGCAATTTTTATCAGTTATTTAGCAATAACTACACGGAAGAAAAAATGCTGTTGAAGACAAAATAAAGTTGCTTGAATTAAACGTTAACGTCACTGCCAACATAAATAATTCACTCACTTGTATTTGCTATGGATTTTCAGTTTAAGCATTGAACTAAATATACAGATTATTAAGACAACTATCAGATATTTTTCATTTATTAATACTGATGTTGTTTCAACGACTTCATTTCAATTACACTGATATTGTTGACACAACACCACTTTTTTCCGTGCATAAAATTACGAACGAAAGTGCACGCGTTGTGAATTGTTTTGTTAAAATTAAACGGTGCTGCTTAATCCGTATCGGGATGTTTTCAATTGACAGCGTATGTTTCATCACACTCATATACATATTTCTTTCTAGTTTATAGCCGCATTATCGTATGTCTGTTGAATGATTGTTACGTGACTTATGGCGGACGAGAATTCTGCGGTTATTATCGATACATCCACTTTCTCTAATAGGTACAGAAAATATTCGTATGATGATTTAACATTATTTACACTCGCTGGAATCGAACATACTGCTGTTTTGATATAATACGTACGTTATGTTTGTCTCTCTACGGCGGCAGTGATTGATAATTAAAACGAATCTAAGGAATACAATTTTTCAAGCGTCGTCAGTCGCAAAAATGTTTACCGTTTAACGGAAATCAACATTGAGATACGCAAATTAGATTACTATCGTTCCAAGCAATTCAATTTGCTCTTCATACAGTAGGATACACACCCATTGTTACAACACAACCGTTAATTTCCGAAAAACACCTAATTTCACAATGCATTTGAATGCATTTATATACTTATATAAGATACAGTGACACAACAACGATCTCTGTTACACAACGCAATTTCCGTCACATTTGTAACACAATGAGATAGTAATTGACAGTAAAGCGACAATATGGCGCCAGTTAATCGCCAATTGATCGAACGACTGTCTATATAAAATTCAATTTTCGTACAACGTAACAATGTACGCTTTACAATATTTGCTTTACAATGTGATATAACACACGTCATTGCATGATGAAACAGTCGTTAATCAAGTAACATGTTTATTATCAATCTGCTTCGCGCTTTCTTCTTTTTTCGTAAATCGCTCGCACACGAGGTTTCCGTACCTGACGATTAAATTCCTCTCTTCGGCAAAAAAGCGTGGCTCGGAAACAGATACAAACTACTACGATATATACTAACAAAACAAGAGAGAGTAAAAGGGATTCAAATTAATAAAAAAGCCTCGCTCTGTACAAAGGATTGGCAAAGGATAACTATTGGTAAAGTGAATACTACCGTACCTTTAAAAAAATATTGCAAGAGGTGAGCTTGTTTCAAAACAGAACAAAAAGTCATTTAAAAGTCAGGAAACAAAAAGTAATCATTTCTGAAAAGATATCGCAAGATAATGTCATTTAATACTTTTAATGAAACTTAACTTGACGTATTTATGACCATATTTTGATTTTTCGGTGGCTTTTACTGAAAGAACACGAATCACTTATGCGCAAGGAATAATTAAAATCTCACAAATATTATACTTAACGAATTTGTGAAAATAGTTCATTTTTGAAACGATGATATCTTGATTTTCCATTCACAAGATACAAAATAAAAGCTCAATCAATATTTTATCATACTTACAAATCATATTTCTTATCATAATAGTATCAGTACTGTTAAAAAAACATTTTGCATACATATTTATTAACATACAATGTTGAGTGCCAGAAATAACCTGGCAATAAGTTCAAATTATGGCGAACCATCAATAAAACGGCATCTCCACATTTCAAGATCATAATTTTATCAATTTTTTGTCATGATCAAAATATGGCTTTTACATCATTATGTCATTTTGATGTGATGTTGACTTCATCATGACTTCTTGTTTCGCTTGGGTTTGGTACACGGAAAAGAATGTAGCTGCCGTAGCTAAAAACTGCATGCAGTAACCAAATTTTAGTTGTAGAATATGCACAGCTAGTATTTAGTTGTGATAGCTAATATTTTGCTACTGTATTGTATTAGGTACGATTGCAAACCCGTTTGCTGTGCCTTTAAAAATTTATAGTCATGGCAGCAAAATATTTTTAGCAAATCATGATTAGCTACGGTAGCGAAATTTTTTTCAGTGCACTCTTTTCGATTCTCGAAATATCTTTCGCAGGTCGGGAGCCTCACTGTCTTTTCTCTTTTTGTCTCCGTCTCTCATTTTGGCGCTAAATGTTAATTGATTCAGCAAATTGTCGAAACGAGTATCGTTCAATTCGACGTATGTATACTCAAAATGAGATCGGCGGTACAAGAAAAGTAAACTTTTACGGATTTCATTGATTGATCTCTCAATCCTAATGGACGCGTTCCGAATACAATGCAATGAAAAACATCTCGATCGCCACCCGCCTGTCGTTTCGCGTATCGTAATAGCGTAATCACTTTTATGATTAATTTGAAGGGCATTTATTTACAAACTATGAAGCATAATTAGCTCCTCGGTGATAATGGATCGATATGCGCTATAAAGATAGATACTTAATCCTAGCACGCACTTATAAAATATTTAGCATAGAAAGCTTTGTAATCAAAGAAACCAATGCATCTTTAGATTTATTTGTAGAGTTTTCGTAGTACTTCGGCCGTGTCGAACATCGAAAGCAAAGCTCCAGAAAATTTTGGAATCGGGCAGAAAGATTAAAGTAGTCGTCAAAGAAATAACGCGGGGTAGCAACGAAAGAAAGAGCTGCCGATTAAGTTTATTTTATTTCGTTAACTTTCCCTTGTTGCGTGCCAATCTTTAATGGACGCGATAAAAATGTCCGGTGTAACGCGATAAATAAAATTGCAAACTCTAAATGATCTAGTGTGACGAAATTTTGCTATTCGGCTGAAATTATTTTACCGTAGTAAACGCAATTTAAACACGCTGCAACTGTGTGCAAGAGAGCCGTAATAAAGAGCAGAAGGTACAAGGCAAAGTTCTCTCAATCGTTTAATTATACTCACCATCTTGATATAATCACACAGCGAGGAGTGATAAACGAAATAGAATTTTGACTATTAGATTACAGGATCGCGACTATCTCATTAACGAGTCGCGTGTTTGCGTAAAACGTTAATCCGTCGTAAAATATGTATATGCGCGTCTTCGGTCTCGCAGGGTGGCGGAGTTAGAAGGAAGTCTTTCCGAATATAAAGTTTCCAGGTACGCCCGGGTCGTCGGAGCAGAAATATTGCTTCCACAAATCGGCGAATTTCTCACGAGTCACCTCCGTGCCCTGCGGAGAGAGTAAACAGTTTTGTGAGTCGACACCGCCGCTGTAACGTCGTCGCGTTTCTTTTTTTATCTCTCGCTCCTTTTTTTTCCCTTATCGTTATCTTTTTTCCCCCGCCTGATTGATACTCACCACCCCCAATTTCTTGAACGCCTCACGTGCCTCGGCCTCCTCGACGCCGTGACTGCCGCACACCTTGCTGAATTCAGTCTCGTCGATCGATCCATCACCTGACGACAGAGACCGTACACGAATTTGACGCTACCCACGTTTCATGTACTTAAGCTAGTTCTTATAAGAAACTGAAGATAGGAAACTGATGATAAATAGCTGAGGAACTTTTGTCGGGCGGAGCAACTGCGAGAAACTAGTTTGAATGGGCGCGGGATAATGAGCGGAAGGGACGGTTAATTGATATTTATAAACTTGTTAACCCCCGACCGAAACCATCATTCATTTTTAGCCCGCGATCGGTTCATCAATTTTCACCGCGTTCCAAAAATACACCGTGCATTTAATCGAAGCGACAGGAAACAGACTGACATAATATAAACTGAAAGTCCAAGGGCTTGCGCAAAATAGAGGAATACGAATAAATGTTAAATCCATATGTTTAAATTCATAAGCTGGGACATAAATATTTAGGATTATAACTGTACGACACAATATATATCCTTATATTTATGTCTTATATTTTATTCTTTTTCAGCGTGCGTTTAATTTCTCCTACTTTCTCTCTCTTCTAATATTTCATATTTATTCCTATTACTAATATTGCCTCATTTGTGCGTAAGGACTAAATTTTCCCAGACGCGTAAGATTAGACGTGTAATGACAGAAATGTTACTCTCGCTTTGCGCGCGCATTGAAAAAGAGAGAAAGGTGCGCGAATTGCGTAATTTACACTCGTACTACGGATTTCCTCTGATGCGCCAACGCCGTTCATTGAAAAGACGAGGTGAAACGAGGTTGACGGAATGGTGCAGCCTGGGGAGAACTGATGCACCGAGTTTACTGTAATTTGCGAAACTCCGTAAGGGGACAGAATTAATGATACATGCGCTTCCCCCAGTTACTCTCCGTTCGTAATTATGTTTACATTAGTATTTCTGGAATCTCCACGCAAATGCATAATAAATTACCGTCACGCATCCATAGGATGTAAATGCATTTACCGAGGTACAAGCACGTGCTTCCGAGACTTACCGGAAGAATCCTCCAGATCGAACATGAAGTTCATGTACGTTTGTTGCCACTCGAGTGCGTGCGCCGGGTCTTTCGCGTACTCTTCCCACATCGAGTACCACTCGTCTCGACTGATCTGAAAGATATGCGACTGTTAAACATGGCACTATCCGCTTTTCATCGGCGAGCTGCGTCACTGCTTTCCATGCAAGATTTTTATATTTCAACCGTAGGTCGCGAAGGTATACGTGACGAAATATTCCTTTAGGAGCGAAATACAAATATACAAGCAAATAGCCGCGGGGTTATTTTTAAAACTGTGAACGGAAAACCGTTTTGAAAATCGATAAATGTGAGAAAGTGGAGCGCAGGTATGCTAAAAATTCAGAACGTTATATATCAGAGAATATAAAATATGCGAGAGAAATGCTTTAAAGCCCGATAACTCGTAATACGGTTTTGTCATTAAAATGGCCGGGAATGACTTAAAAATCATACCTGTCCGTCTTGATCGGCGTCGGCCCGTTGTTTCAGACCCTCCCAAACTTTAGTTAAAGTGTCTTTGATCTGTTGTGATGTGGCATCGTCCGGTTTCCAATGCCTGGAGTTGCAGATTCGCTGTGACGAAAAAGAAAAGAAATAAGCGCGCGTTACCTAAAATTCTCGAACCCTTTTGATTGATGAGCGCGATCGGTACCGACGTAAAAGAGCTAATCGATCATGTTTCAACCTGGATTCTAAGACATTGTCAGATTTGTTACATTTTATTTCTATTCACAGATCCGGTATCTGTATTAGTAATAAAAATTAAGTATGCAGCGGGAGAGGAAACAGTTTAACGCAGTATACTTACTTGCACGGCAAGATCAAAGTCCTTTATGTCGATGGTGCCACTTTGATTAACGTCTGAAAAAAGAAAAACGTTATCTAATCGTCAAGGCGTTCGTCTATTTAAATTGATGATTTGATTGAAAATTCAATTATTTCGCGTAGTTTTCGTTGGCCGAATTCCTTCGCGGGGCTATTTGTTATTTCGAATAAAATGCTACTCCAGCTGTCACTAACATTCTCGAGATACATCGTACATTTTCTCACTTAAGGGACAAGATGAACGATCATGCCGCTCGATTTTGGTCCCGCTTGGCTACGATCGGATATCGTTAGTTTTCTGAAGATGACCCACTTCCACCGCGCGGTTTATTCGTTTTCGCGCGGTTTCCGCCCGCGGCATGTCGTTTATTAATTCCGTTTCACTGTAGAATAGGTAGCTACCCTCCGTTTCACCCTTGCCCGACTGTCGTAGTCGGAATCCTGTTAAGCGTCGATTACGATTCAACGAGGTAGAATTTATTGTCTCCCCCGGTATTCCGTCGAGCGGTTGACAAACCGAGGTCACGATGAAATAATTAATACCAACGTCCGGGCGTGCAGCCGGTGTCTTTAATGGTATAACTTGTTGCAAAAACTCTGAACTCGCGGACAGATTAAAAATCGATTAATCGGATTCCCGTATATAGGACCCCGCTCTGGTTAGCAACAGGGTGGTGGTATATAATGGATGTGGATAACGGATCTGCTCCTTTTACGCGAATGAATACTCCGAAGTGTAGCGATGTTATCAGAGATAAATTGTCAGTTACTGTCAAATCCCCTAACAGCAATGATATCATTCGAATAAATCCGTACTTCTACAGGATGTACTAAGAATATTCCAATATGCCTGGGACATCCCAATATTTGAAATATCCTTCAAATAGTCTCAGAATCTATATGTAACGGTAGCCAGTCTACATGCACTGCAAATGTGTAGCCAATCAATTTGCAGCTTTTATGGAATAGCTGCAAGTTGATTGGCTATACATTTCTCGGAACTAGAACTTGGACCGAGTCCTAGTATCGTGGACACAGGTCTTTACGGGATGCCAATTAGCGTTGTAATAACAATATCCCGGAAATATTTTACTAAAAATGAAATTAATTTGTACTGAAACGTATTTGAAAATCCCTCTCCCCTCAAATTGATCCCGTTTCAGTATCATTTCACCATTTCAGTTTCTCGTTAAAAAATAACTGTTCTCACAATTAGTTAAATTCAGTATATTCTGCAATATCTATAATAATACTTCGTAATTTTTTTATTACCTTTCAACAATACACTTCGACTTCTCTTAAATTTTACAATATTATATTGAATTTCAAGGAAAATATGATTTATTTTTAGGTACATTCGGTATACAATTTTTAATAACATTTGTTTCACTTTTCATCGATTTCAATATTCTTAGCGAAATACTTCTATCACGGCACTGATACAAATGAGATTTCGAGATTAGATCTTTATCTAGAGTTATTTTATTCTTGTTTTATTCTTTATTTAATTTATATCCATGTTTACCTAACTATATACAGCACGGTGCATTTATTTAATAAATAGCACTGTTCGGGTAATAATTAGGCAGGGTTGGCAAAGTTACTTTACAACAGTATCTAATTACAGTTACAGTTTTTTCGTTAAAAATGTAAGTAGTTACAGTTACCAATTTACAAGTTACCAATTCTGAAAAGTAACGCGTTACAAATTAAAAATATAGTTACTCAAAAAGTAACGAATCGTTACTTTGCAGTTACTTCCACGCGATGAAAATAAACGTATCAAATCTGTATTTGAATTGTAAAGTGTTGATAACGTTTACCAAGAGCAGCGTTTTCCAAACAGCGGTTCGCGGCCCATTGGTGGCCCGCGCGTGAAATCGTTATTCACGATAAATCTCAACTTCCATTTGTTGTTGAATTTAATTTGTTTCCAGTTAGAACCAATTCAGGGCTGATAATGAATGCATAGCCCACAATTTTACAATACAATTTTGATACGGCATTTGTCCTCTCTGAAAATCAATCAGTGCGTTATCACTGAAAACAGTGATAAGTGTAGCACTGAGTAATTCAGTGAGAATAGGTTTGTTTCTGGCGGTAAAATATGATTTATCTTTAAATGTAAGTTACGGGAAGAACCGCTAAGTTACGTTTTGTCCAAGTGGGTAGCGATCCAGAAAAGTTTGGGAAATACTGGACTAGAGCTTTTTCTCCTGCCCCGTCTTCTTCACTTCGCATCTAAAGAGCTCGAGCTAGTCGAGATCCCTAGTAGCACACTGCATTGGCTATACGTTGGCTAAACATTGGTCCAATGTTGGTTATATTAGAAATGCATTAGCCGATCGTGTCCAACGTAAAGCCAATATTGGCCATGGAATAAATGTAAATATTACACGATAATAATTATATAATATTAGACTTATATTTAAAGTGCATTGGCCAATATTTAACAATGTAATGACAATATTGGTCTAATATTGATGCAATATTAGACCAATATTATTGAATAGACATATTGGCTAAATAAGAGGAGATGTCCATCGTATAATATTGAACTAATTATATTGGGAATACCAGATTTACATTATTTCCCAATATTGCGCCAATATATTGTGCTACTAGGGATATTATTAGCAAATAAATATTGACAATTTTATACCAACAAAAGAATGTTATTTGTTAAACGACTACTTCCGATCAAAAAATACACTCGACAAGCGTTTGTTAAACGAAGGTGACGTAATTCCGCGAATTGAAGAACTGCGGGGCAACCGTTGACCGAAAATACACGGCGACTCTACCCCATCGCGCCTCTAACCGACGATAAAATAATCCGTCGGTCCCGCAGAAGCGTTCGCGTTCGGGATATGTTTAGCGGCCAATCGGCGGTGATGAAAGAGGAGAAGAAAACGAGGGGTTAATGAGGGCTGCCAGGCGTATGCACGCCTGCGACCTCCGTGATCCGCGCTACGTGCGGTGCACCGTGTCGCTCATGAGTACACGCACACCCGCGGTGTTCCGCCCCCTACGTGCCTCTGCTTTGTACGCGGCATTTTTACATTATGTGTCTTCATAAAAAAACACGAGCACACACATTGAAACGCGGCTCCACGAGGCAGAGCCGTTTCGTCCATTAAGCAGCTTAAGTAGAATGCATGGAGCTCGCGAATATTTCAAGAAAAGCATCGCAATCTTCCGGCGACTTGTTAAAAAAAAGCGCAATGACTTTGCCAAATGCTAAAAAAAAAGAACGTAACATTAATAAAGATTCGATTAAACACGGTATTATATCTGCGGATATTTTCGCAGTCGACAAATTTTTCAACGTAGTCGCGAAACTGGCGATCGTAAAATGCTTCGCTTTGGCGCAAAAACTAAAAATACATATTATAACTTTTTTATCCTTCGTCATTTCCAATTCAAAATCGCGCGAACGAAACGCGTCACTTTGGTGGTTGAGCGATTTTCTCTCTTTTTTTTTTGCCACAACTTTATGGCGAGATAAATGGAAATTCTATTTAACGTGATTCCGCTTTATTTTATTTAATGTCAAACGTAACGCTGCTCCGTTACATCCGACACGGGACGCGATACGGTGATCCTCGCAAGAGGGGAAAAGTAGCCCTGGGTCCTCTTAAAGTGACTCTCCGCTCTAGAGAGAAGCTCTCACTTCCACGCACGCACCCCCGGGGGAATTGGAACACGTGCACACGTCATATGTGGCAAAACGACCCTTTAACTGGACCCGACGCCGTCCACTGTTTATCTTCTTCGCAGTTCGTAAATAGGCGCGTACACATCCTCGCTCTTACCCGGATGGGCCGGCACATAGGTGCCACATGGAGGGTATGGGCTCGCGCGCGCAACCCCGGATTCATCCCCCCGGAGAGAGTCGTGGAAGAGACCGCGAGGGCGAGCATCCGAGGGCGAGCGCACTCCGTATTTCATTCGCGTCGGAACGATACGGCTCGCGCGGCTTTTCGCGAGAAAGGGAGGGCGAGTGAAATAGGGCCGTTAAGAGGGAGAATCAAGAGAATCCTCGGCGAAAACGCGAGCGGGGTTGCGAAGGGGATAGGGAGGGAAGGCCATCAAGGAAGAAGCGACACCTCGTTCGTTACGTTAGCGCTCGATGAGGATTTGTTTCGTCGAGATGTACGGAACGACGGGCGACGGGAGAGATTTTCGCCCAACGAGCGCTGCGGGGGCGGTAAATGTTATCTCGAGACGTCGGGGAAACCGTTCGCCGTCGTTGTCGAGCGCTCGTTTTTGGTCCAGTACCGTGGACCAAATCGCGCGGTAAAGAAAAATCGTACTACCGAAAGTGCTACGAGTTGAAATAAAATTGACGAAACTGAACGCAATAATCTTCGCATCAACTGCTTCTCAGGTCTACTGAATAGTATAGCCAGGGGGGTAACCACTAGCTAAAATGTTGTTCTAACGATTACATGATTTCATTTGATATCATACGATTTTCTTTTCATCTGATTACAAATAATTTCATCTAAGTAATTGCAAATAACTTTCTTATACGCACGTTTAAAAATTTGACGTTAAATCTCAAAGAGCTGTTAGGTTTCCTCAAAACATTATGTATTTTTTATTTACCACTTCAGTCTTATTATTATATAAAAAGAATAATACGCACTTATAGGTATGAACTATGATATACATATATTTGGCAGGGTTGGAAAAGTTACTTTATAAAAGTATCTAGTTACAGTTACTCGAAAAGTAACGAATCGTTACTTTGCAGTTACTTTCTTGCAATGAAAATAAAATAGTCAAATCCGCATTTTAATTGTAAATCGTTGATAAAGGCGTTTATGCGCTAATGCAAGGCCTAATGCGATTTGTGGAGGCTTAAAATACACACATATATATATAAAGTTACTATTCATGTAATTATTAAATTAGCAGGGTTGGGAAAGTTACTTTATATAAGTATCTAGTTACAGTTACAGTTTTTTCGCTAAAAATGTAACTAGCTACAGTTACTCGGAAAGTAACGAGTCGTTACTTTGCAGTTACTTTCTTGCAGTAAAAATAAAAATATCAAATCTGCATTTCAATTGTAAAGTGTTGATAAAGGCGTTTCACAGGCGCAAATGCAAGGCCTGCGATCTGCAGAGGTTTAAAATATATTATGAAGTAACTATTAATGTAATTATTAAATTAGCTACCAGTTATCGAAAAAATGTAACTGAGTTAAGTTACAGTTACAGATGGAGAGAAAGTAACAAAGTTAAGTTAGAGTTACCAAAAAAAAAGAAACTGTAACTGCAACTTCGTTACAAGTAAAGAGTTACTTCCCAACTTTGATATTTGGATATTCACAAAAAGAAGTAAATTCTTAGGGAAAATGAAACCAAGTTGAGAAAATATTCAAATTTAATGTTTATTGTCCAACAAGTGACGAAACTTGAAAATAAAGACAAAATGATTACATCGGGATTCCGTTCAGTCAGAGATGCGTTCGGGAAAAATGACGGGATGCACAGAATTACACAAGCTCGTCAATGGCTTTTTGTATCGCGAATAAAAAGAACTTTGTAAAAGCAGAGCAATTTATAATATTATAGATTATGTTTGAAAGAATTTTTATGCATTTTATTGTTACACAAAATATAAACAATCGTGAGAAAGGAATGTCTGAAGCCTCGTATGGATGAATGGCGTAAAGTCGGGCTTGACGAGCTAAAAATACCACCCTTATACTATGCTTGAGACAGCTTTGTCGCTGTTATTATTTGCCTTCATTTAATATCCAGCTTTCACAGCGATCGATAGGCTTCTGATTTTTTCATTATAAATACCACGGAGAAATTTTATTTGTTTTCAGTGAAATTGATTCAGCTAGCTTAGCCTTTTTATTTACGCGATCGTCATTAATAACAGAATATATTGCGGCTAATGCAAATTAATATCGCGCAATTGTCCGCGGTAGTAGTGTACTTACCGAAGAAAGCGTTGAAGACGAAGAGTAGTTTTTTCTTGCGGAACTCCGATAACGGCATCTTTGGACCCTACGAAGTTAAGAAGAGAGAAAGGGGCGTTAGATGTGTGCGTAGTGTTAATATTCGTTCGCGATCGAGTGACGATCAGGGTCGATTGTCTCGAGCGACCGACCCTTCTTTTATCTCGAGAGTAAAAAGTAATCGTGTCTCGCTTGCAGGTGTATGTGTGCGTATCAGACCACTTTGCGCACAGTTCGACCTAATATTCGCGAGGTCATTATGAAAATGCAATGATTTAACGTGTTACATATACAATCTTTTACCAAAATTTTATCCTCTTTCATTGCTCTTCAGATATTCCATCTTGACTTGTAAATTTATCCATTTTTAACAAATTTTCTGCTTAATTATAACATTTATTTTTCATTACATCTTGAAATATTTGAGAATGACATAAATAATTTTAAAATATTGCAGTGACATTCATGAGTAATTATTAATCCCAAATTATGTAATAATTGATTAACGAGAGAGAGAGAGAGAGAGAGAGAGAGAGAGAGAGAGAGAGAGCACGGTTATTCTCATAATTTTCTGTTTAACGACGGAACGTGCGCGTGGTAATTTCAGCTGTGTAATTAATTACACAGATTAATTGGTTGAATAAAAACCGATACTCTTACGACGGAGATTGCGAGAAACGATTAAGGTTTTAAAAGAGCTTTCTCGCACTCTCCTCCCTAACTGAAACGACTGTACTGTTTCCCAGGCGACGTCAGTCTTTATGTAATAATCTCTTCCCTTGAGTTTAAGAGAATATCTCTTCCCTCGTAGCGCAATCCCAACGTGTATTAACGCACGTTTCGTCCTTTACGACAGAACATTGGTAATTCGAGTTATCTAACTAATCGCAAGTGCACAAGCGCATCACGATGTATAAGCGGCGCGCGTCGCTTTACACAGTTCCTCCTTTCTTTATTTTTGGATCCGTCTATATAAAGGCACTCGATAATTGTCGACTGTGTCTCGATAAATGACCCCGATTTTCTTTTAAAGGAGATGCGTCTCTCTAATAAGCTAATTGGATTTTCACAACGCGCGCGCGCATAGAGCCGCTAAGTTGTTTAATATGTTAATTTTGCTGAATATCATGTTTACTGAAAAATTTGCACAACATTACATCTAGGGATTTAGCGAAGATGTTACTTGAACAAGGCAAGTTTGGACATTAACGGACTGCTGGCGAAATGACTTTATTGAAATTATAATATTAAAATTTTATTAAAATTTATTTTAATTAATTTTATTAAATTCGTTTTATTAAAATGCATAAAATTAAAATGCATTTTATTAAACTTCAGATTTTGCGTTTCATAAATCTACTGTTAGTCGATACAATAAATCAGGAAAAATTAATGTAAAAATGATGCTAGTCCGTTCACTTCAAGTAATAAATAAATAATAATGCACCGTTTAACTAATGATACACTAATGACAAACTTTTACTGCTGTTCGTTATCATCGATATTAATTCCATATTTACGACATAAATCATACATGATAATTCACTTTAAATGATTCACGAAGTGATTAATTACTATCGCAAATTACATATGGTTTGTTTTGAAATAATTTATGTTTTCCATTTTAATGACGTTGTATTCGATTATACTAATCTGATTACACGAAATAATCAATCATTATATTGCCATTTGCTCAATTCGCTAATTGAAATAATTTATCTGATGTATCTAACGTTTATAATTTTCACAAAATTGTGTTACTTTATCTGAATATTTGCACGAACAGCGGACGCGAATACTCGTGCAATCGTGAAAGCAATTTTATTTAGCTTTCTACGCGACCAGACAAAATTTGTCTCTTGCTTTTAAGTATCTTTCTGAATAATTGAAATCCTTAAAATCTCATTTACGATCGTCGACGTCTCTGCGTTAATACAAGAAACTTACCAGTAAAAACGATTTGCAAACAGTTGCGATGATAGCCGAGATGCAAGCTGTAGCGGTAATTAATGCAAATGAAATTCTTATTACGGGCGTATAAGCGCAGAGAATCATTAAGGTAAAAGTACCAATGCCCGGACATGCAGCTATATCTGGACATTCGTATTTTTTTGGCCTTTAAATACGGATATCTAAACTTTTAATATGGAATGTATATTAAACGTATATACATATGTTCACACATGGCTCAGTTTAAATATCCGCATTTAAAGACCGAGAAAAATACAAACGGTCAGATGTAGGGGAAAATCCTCTATTATGAGATACTAATATGAGACAGCGGAGTTTCCGCTAAATTAATAGGAATCATCTGTAGGTTCCACCATGAATTTATTGTCCTTGCAGTAAAGTCTGTTTAATGGAAAATTCATTGTTAGATCATGTAATCGTTGCGAAAAAAATATGTGATTGACGGAAGTTGGGAACATACTATCTCGTATTAGAATCCTATCTCATAATAAAGGACTTTCCTCTAGACGCATGTTCGGGCATTGGAACTTTTACCTTATAAGAAATTACGTGCAATTGAACTCTTTCTAAGAAGATATTGATTTTTAGATGCTTGCAAGTGTGGAGCAACAGTATTTGATAATTATCAGAACATTATCGCAAAAAGATTATTTCCGTATTGCAAACTTGCCAATAATATTCTCATTGAGATTGATTTTGACGTAAATCCGTTACTCTCGGCATTTATCTTATAATCGGGCTCTTGGTTAACGACGCTGACGCAGCACAAGTGGCCGAAGCATCGATGCTCCGTGTAATATTGTTCACGGCTTAATAGTTAATTCTGGTGGTTAATTAAATCAACAATTTGGCGGGCGGGCTGTATGTAACGATATGCGCCGGGCGACTGTACGTTCATTATCGGATAATTAAAATTCGATAGGAAATTTACGGCATTTATATGGGCGCTTGTCTACATACACTCATACATACGTTGAATGCAATTTAATTAAAAGCGATGTTGATTGATCGCTGACTTTCACTCTCTGTTTTTATTCTGAACTTTGTGTTACTCGTTTTCCGCTGTGATTTATCGATCGCGACGTTTCGACGGCATTGCATTGTCTGTAATGTATGCTGCATGCTGCCTATGAATGATATCCTGGCGCGCAAAGATCTCTGTGGCGTTATGGTGCAAGGACCATTGTGTCCCATAAGCGTGCGCTTGCGCGGTGAGGACGAAAATGCTATCATTATCACCGCAGCCCCGTTATCTGCGCTCGTTAACGTGCTCTAATGTCAATTATAACGGATAACAACGGTTATACAATCGGCAGTACTAAAAGCTTTAAAAGTACCTCTTTATAGCGAATTTGGTTGTCTGCGTTAGTACGCACTGAGTACGCATTAAAACGGTTTACAATCAATTCTTATATTTCAGAATCATCTTAAATACCTCTTGAAATATTTATTAACCAGTAAATGACCCAGCGAGAAATGGCTCGTCGATCGACGAATCGTTTCTCACTGGTGATCTATACAGCATCCGTGCACTGAGAAAAATTTCCATCGGATAAACCAATTAAATAGTGTTTTCAATGGTTAATTTTTCCGATGAAACGCAGTTACCGATGAAATTTGATTGAAAAACCGATCACAATTTTCATCGAATATACAGTTTAATTGGATATATCCGTTTATTATTATGTAATGGAATTATTAGATAGTTTTTGGGCACGTATTCAAGACGTCCTTAAATATAAGAATTGACATTGGCCGCGTTCAGCAGACACAACTGTTGAGTGAGCGCTCAATGATTTCTTAACATGATTGGCTGGATCTAAAAGTATTAGCCAATCATACTGAGCGCTCACTCAACAGTTGTGTCTGCTGAACGCGGCCATAGATGCGTTGAGCTGCGGCAACGTGTGCGGTAATGCGAGTGGACCAATCAGAAGCTTGACGCAAGCTTCCTGCGTTGGAATTGAAATCTTTTGATTCGTTGCCGCACACGTTGCCGCAGTTCAACGCGTTTACGGAGTCTTAGCTTTGCACTCGGAGCGCACTGGTGCAAGTAACCGAATTCGCTGCTAGTCATATACAGAGAGAGAAGTGAAAAAGCATTATTTATAAGATGTATTATACACGCCCGCGGAAAGAGTTTTCGGATCCAATGCTGTTACACTTATCTACTTTTATTTATTAGTAAAATATGATCGATATAGCAATCATATTTATTACACTCTCAGAAAGGATTTCTGTTACCGAGACAAAAATATTCTTGACGCATTTATATTTCTCACAACCTCATTTAGTATAAAAATAAGACAATATCAAAATAAAGTCAATAATTCTTCTTCTCCTCTATCGAATTAAAAAAGATCGACTTACTATATTGAGACATGAGTAACTTATATAAATGTATTATAAGTTTATATATTCTTACGTTTAGAATAAATTTTCCTTCCATCTTACAATGCATGAAATTGGCACCACGATATTCGACAAAAGACGATACGACGATACTATCATTTTATTCTACATTTTAGAATTTTTCATTTAAGATTAAAATATTCCTTTCTCTATAATAAATATGATTGGCACTATATCGATCCTATTTTGTAATATTGTACATTGAAGTAATAGCATTTGATCCGGAATTTTTTCTGTGGGTGTATTGTGAAAGGAATATTTTAATCTTGAATCACTCTTAAACCTAGAATAAAGTAATGTTGGTGCGTGCGTTACACATCGAGAGAAGATTTATTCTAAACGTAAGAATATATAATCTTAAATATATATGCTGTCTTTCTTTCAATATAGTAAGCTAATCTTATACAATTCGAGAGAAAAGAATAGGAATTATTGATTAAATCTTAATATCGTTTCATATTTTTCCTGAGGTTGTGATAAGTTCAAATATATCAAGAATATGTTTCGTCTGTTATCAGAAAACTTTTCTCGAGAAGGCAGTTTGAAAAAGATATTGTTTCTTAACAAAAAAACATGCTAAAATTTTTCAAGGATTTCTATTTGGCACACATGTAACCTTCTGTGTGAACAAATATTCTAATTGGTTGTCAACGCACAGGTCGAAGT